TCGTAATGAGTTTTATGTCGCTAGATCAATACTTGATGCCATGATGTCAGGGTCAAATGTCAAATTTTCTGCAAATTGATATTTTTGACTTTCACGCTCACATGCACCAGGCTATGTTTCGTAGCGATGCGAACCTTCAGCAGGCGTTTGCCTTGGTCGATGTTGAGTCCCATGGCATATTGTTTTACGTGTTCTGATCATACAGTTATGATGTATGGCTGTGTTTGCGTAACAGCGGCATTCCACGGTATTGTCGGTTGTCGCTTGCCGCACGCGCAGATTGCACGTGCAGTGTTCCTCAAACCGCCGCCGCTCTGAGGCCGGAAGTGATAGGGACACGTGTTTATGTCAACACACGCGCAATGGGTGCCCCAGAGGCCACTGAAAATTTAGGCGCGATTGCACGTCATGCCGGAGAGATATTCTCAGAAAATCTATGGGGCTGCATTGATCCGCTCCCCTATCAGGGCGAAGGCGAGGTGCGCAGTCATGTGCATACAACCCTACCAGGGTGGGGCAAAGAGAGCGGTCATGTGCATACAACCCTACCAGGGTGGAGCAAGGAGAGCGGTCATGTATATGCAAATGTATAGGAGAGAGTAGAAAGAGTTGCATTAGTTTTTCGCTCTGAGCTCCCTCCTGCTATATCCACTGATGATAGAACTAGGGCTTTTATGTATGCTGATAGCTATAATATTTAGCTTCACATGTAGCGGTAAAGCTTTGAAGAGCACGTCTTCGATTTTTGGTGAATGACTAGTGAATGAACTCCTTTCATATGAGACGACTTCCCTCATACTGGGAAAACTGCATCACATGGTAAGGACAGTTGTGCGTAATTTTGTCATAGGGCAAGGTGCATTGCAAGCGAGCTGAATGAGTTGCAGCACGCAAACCAAATGCGCTTGCCTGCGCAATTCAGAAGTTTGTCGCGGTTACGACATAACACATGTTGTCATTTGTACCAGTCCGTGTTTGTTTTATGGCCACTGCCACCTCGGCTGCGGTTGCCCGGGCGGAAATTAGGGGTCTGCAACGGTACTATGTCGACTTGTCTGGGTGATAATAAGTCATGACAATCAAGTTAGCCGATCATTGGCAGTTAGTCAATGCCATTCTGTCAGCTTATTGTATCAATGATGCAACGTGCCCCATATACAGCTGACGCAACATGCGCAACGCGATATTTTGAAGGAAAGTTTGCGCCACCCCAGAATCCTTGGCCAACCGATACCACATGCTTTCCAGCATATACGAGACATACACTTCCCCACCACCCAGTAAAGCATTTACGCGGCTATGGTTATGCATTTAGTCCTTAAATGGAATGTTTCACGTTTGAAAATATTGAAGTAAGCACTAAATATAAACAACAAGCTCACTTACAAATACCGGCATACTCTTAGGCGGACAAGACTGCTAGACACCACGGTTTCTCTGTTTGGCAGATATGCTCGGTGAAACGTCATTATTTTATTACGCTATCGCACCTTGCACAGCATTGATTGAAAGCCAATTGACAGCCATTTTATATGGAAATCGCGCTTACGAACGCCAGATGCCAACGCCTCCACAATTATATTTTCCTTGGCTTTAATCGCCGCACGGCTTATGGAATGACAGGATTTAAACGCCGTTATCATGACGTCATGAACGCCAAGCTGTCTTTGGAATAATCTCTCCGATATCCTCTCCCCATGTCCACGGGCTTGTAGCTGAGAAAATAGAGGGGTATATGTTAAAGAAGGTCAGGGATTCGAGCTCTACCAAAATGTCTCCAAGATGGTTATTTCGGTTCAAACCTCACATTAATGTGAAAACTGCCCTTGAGCACACATTTACTTCAATTGTTATAGTTCTTGACAATATGCACACAAAAAAAACACACGGCATGTTTGTAGCGTTCACCAAAAGACACGTGCACTCATGCGGCCTGAAATACACTGAAATGTAAAGGGAGCTGCTCTGCGTCAGTTGAGTGACTCAAAACTGCCATCGTCGCATAGATTTGGAATAAATCACCATGATGCTGCTTGGAGATGATACAACTCATCCAACTCCTCCTACACACTCTGTGTGGTCTGCCTGCCTGCTTTACCGATGGCTTGGCGGTTTTTTAAAATACATCGCGACCAAAAATAATTTTCAATGACGACTTATACAATCGAACGGCATTATACAATCGAGATTTATACAATCTGTTATAAGCTATGGAAAGAGGCCACGTACTGCGTACTGCCATAACGGCCCGAAACGTTTCCGGCCACATCCGTAACCCTCATTTTACGGGAGAACGCACGTGCTTGGAAAAAAAGACACTTCAAGAGCGCAACAAGCCATCAAGAAAGCTACTGTGTTCTGCCTTATTTTTTTGGCACGCTCCGCCCGTGTAGTTAGCCCTGTAACTTGAACGCTGTTCACATTCAGGTGTCGTAAGTAAGTAAAAGTCATGTGCATTTATAAATTTATCGCGGGACGCGAGCGAGCCTGTAACTAATTGGCTAGTTTTTAGCGCGTCACATACCCCAGACATAACCGAAAAACAGACATGGGTGTTACTAACAAGGCTCTCCCTCCCTCTCTCTTCTCCCTCTCTCTGTCCTCTCTCTCTTTCTTCTCTCTCCTCTCTCCCGCCGCGTTTCCTCCCCCGTCCACCTCCCTCTCCTCTCGCTCAGCATCCTCCCTCTTGTCTCTCCCTTTCGCTCTCATCTCTCGGTCCTCTCGTCTCAACACGTACAATGCTCCTCGTCTCTCCCTTCTCGATTCTCTCATCGTTATCTCTCCTCCTCGATCTCTCTCTCCTCTCTCGTCTCTCTCGCTCTCTCTCTCTCTCTCTCTCTCTCTCTCTCTCTCTCTCTCTCTCTCTCCTCTCTCTCTCTTCTCTCTCTCTCTCTCTCTTCTCTCTCTCTCTCTTGTTCTCCCTCTCGCTCTTTCTCCCCTCCTCTCTCTCTCCTCCTCTCTCTCCCTCTCTCTTGCGCTCTCTCTCTCTCTTTCTCTCTCTCTCTCTCTCTCTTTCTCTCTCTCTCTCTCTCTCTCTCTCTCTCTCTCTCTCTCTCTCTCTCTCTCTCTCTCTCTCTCTCTCTCTCTCGCTCTCTCTCTCGCTTTCTCTCTCGCTCTCTCGGGATGGTGCTTGCACGGACGACCACGGGCTGCCACACCGTGCGGTGATTACACGTCAGAGAAGATTTTCGCACAGAGAATTCGGAATGACGAGTGGCCTCAAGATTACCTCCTCAGGTCAACTGAGTGGGTGGATTGTCCGTGCCAAAGCCACACTGAAGAGAAGCCAGAGCGTGCGAAGAGCGGTTGTCAAATTGAAACGTGCGAAAAGCAGTTGTCAAGCTGAAACAAAGGGCTACAAAATGGCCAGAACATTTGTTTACTATTACATGAAGTGCTCACTAGACCTCACGAAATGCAGATTGGCCAAATAGCCAAAATTCAGCGGATTTACGTGGGTTGTTCAGTGCATTAGCGAGGAACATTATTCACATAGATAAGACAGAAGTATTAGCCCTATTCCTCGAAAAAAAACAGGAGAATGGAGATATAATTAGGATGATATTCCACTCATGGTGCCGCAAAAGCGTACGTCAATGCAGGCTGCTGTGTCAAAGATTCCCGAAAAGTCTTTCACTGAAGCGATGTAAACAAACGGTGAACAGTGCTCCCGGAAATCAAAGGAAGGTGGGGTAGGACATGACTGGCGTCATATTCAAACAAACAACGTGCTAGCCTACACGGGCGAGCACAGCGGCTGAAAAAAAAAACACTTCAAACACGTTCACATTGTTTCAAAGCTGACAAAACTGCTGTAGTTGTTTCAGACAAAAGCTACGAAGGCGTTTGAGATTCATGATGGAGAGCGAGGGGCTATCAGGAGTCAAGCGATGAGTTAACCACACATGATCATTGAACTTTAGCATCAGATTTCAGAGGTTTTCCAATAGGACATCGGACACTCGAGGAATCCGAGGAAACCCCTAGCCAAATCTGTTTATGATATCGTGTCAAGAGGAATGTTTTACATTTAAAGACTTATAGCAAGCATCAGATATGATGAAACAGGCTTACTTATAACTACTGATATGCTTTTAGGTGGAGAAGACTGCTACAGACATCACAATTCTCTGCTTAAACAGACATGCTTCTTAATGGTCATGGTCTGATTACGTCATCGTACCTTGCCACAACATTGATTGAAGGATAATGACGGCCGTTATATCTGAGAATCGCGCTGATGGACGCAGTTATGACGCCTCGACAATTATCTCTTTGGCCTTGATCGCGCATGGTTATGGAATGACAGAATTTGAACGACAGTATCATAACGTTATAAAATGATGAATGACTGAAATATTATCCCCGATGTATCTCCCCCATTTCGCGGCGCAGAGCTCAGAAACTAGAAGAGCTTAGGTATTAGGAAGTGCAGGGTGTGAACAGCACCAAAGGTCTTCAAGGTGGCTAATTCAGTTCAAAACCCCATATAAATGTGGAACACTCTCTTTCAGTGCAGTTAAGCCGAAAAAGCGTGATCAAAAGTCTCACTACATATGCACCATCATGTCTTCGGCAAAGTAGGATCTTCACTTAACATGTTTCTTCATCATGTCTTCCGTAACCCCAAAAACTGGAGTGCCTATAGCATAGAGGGGCGCGTCTGAGGAACCAGTGGAGAGGAAAAAGGGGCAAACCAGGAAAAGAGGTGCTCTCGTAATCTCGTAGCTTGAGCCTGGGTGCCTGGCTGATATACAATCCCCATTCAGTAAAATAAGCCGTTTACGTAGAAATTTATAAGCTTGCATGCCAACTCACGTTGCCGATTTCAGGACTCTGACTTGACAACGACCGCTCCTAACTCCATCCCACGCCCAGCCTCACCCGGCGCCTACCCTCGTCCTCCGCTCACCAGCCGCGTGTGTTGCCTCTCCGGTGATCACGTTTTTGTTGCCCTTTGCAGGTGGGGGCGTGGTGTGTGTCGTGACCTGTGACCCAGGATGCGCGGGGTGCAGGCGGCAGTGGCGCTGCGTCGTCAGCGCAGCCGGCGCGAGGAGCGCAAACGGCGCGCTCACCAACTCCTCGCTGGAGAGCGTGACGCCGCGGCCCTCTACCGGCGACGGCTTCGTCGAGGAGGAGCCGGCGCCGGCACCGGCGCGCTCGCGCAGCATTCTCTTCGGCATCACGCTCTCCACATCGGCCTGGTGTTTCTCTTCATCGGCTTCCTCATGGTCATCACGGCCATGATCCCCGGTACATGGAGAAGGCCGAGGCGTACGACCTCGTCGGCACCGGCACCTTCTTCGTCGTGCTGGGCGGCGTGCTGACCCTGGTG